TAACCACACTGTTCAGAGTAGTAAGCTGTTTAAGAAAATAACTTACTGGAATGTTGTTAATTCAAGTTATTAACTACACAGAAATTTGTCCGTATTGAATTGGGGGAAATGGTGCATATTGTCTCAAGAATATATACTTGGATTTTCTCCAGAAATGTAATAATTGTACCTTGGTACTTGTTGAGATACATGTACGTGAATTGTGAACCTGCTGTTGTCAAGCTGGGGGTCAAGACATTTCTCGTCCTTTACCTCTTTTGCCTTTTTTATGCTGTAATTAGAATAGCTAGAAAATATGAAATGAGAGTGATTCTGAAATGCTCCTAGAAAGTAGGAAAACTAGAAAATAGGAAAATATTTGTTTGCCCAAAAATGACTTTAGGAATGGAATGCATCTAGTCTATAAAGCAAGATAATTGTTTTAGTTAACCATTAAGTAGATTAAGTGATTAATATATGATTATTAACCAAAAAAAACTTTATAGAGAACAGAAGGGATATACATAAAAGTACTTTATAGATATGTAGAATTATCTTTTATGGTTGATTTCTTGGAACACTTCTCTGTTTTTATTGCATACTATAAGCATTGGTGCATACTATGTGCTTAAGGTCTAGCTTCCCATGACATCCATAATTAAGGTTATTATGTGCTCTCTTTAGGTCATCTAAGAAGGCCTTCGGTTGGGAATTAAAAGGCTTACAGTTACTTATAAATTTCCCTTACTGTATTTAATCTGTACCAACTGTTTATTTACGTGTGTCTTAAGCTGCACTGAGCTACATCAACAGCTATTTGATACTGGATTGTACAGTGCTTATTCCCAGAAACAGAACTGCATTTCCATAAACTTCTCATGGTTCTCTGAATCATCTTCTCTTGGTATTTATCCCAGGTACCTCATCTACTTAGGGCATTAAAATTGATTTAGATGGAGAAGGGCATAGATGTTTTCCCCTGTTTCTGAAACCTAATTGAGAATTGATTATACCTCAAATAATAATAAAATAGAATGACTTCTGTATTTTGTTTGTCACTTTGCAAAGCACTTTCACATATATATCATTTGACCCACAGTCTTCCTGGAATGTGGATAGAGTAAATATTCTNATCTATTGTCCTTTTTCTTTGCTGTTCTTACAGGGTCCACTTCCTAATACAGCTTGTCATTTCTGGCTCATGGTTTGGCAGCAAAAGACCAAAGCAGTTGTCATGCTAAACCGAGTTGTGGAGAAAGAATCGGTGAGTAAGACTTAATATTTCCAACTTAGTGTATTGCTTGTGATCATTAAGCTCATAAATGCTTTCACATTTCTTTTGGGATATTCATTCGTTAGGTTTGACATGTAATTTCTAAAGGCTAGTGTCAGGGTGTTTCTGACCCAAAGAACTAATGTATCCTTTTTCCTTTACTACCTTAAATATTTTAAGTAATAGTTGCAGACCACTATGCTCCTATAAATATAAATATATGAATATAATGGAACAAATAATGGAATAAATACTGACTAGTAGTGATACACAGGCCTTTTGAGCACCTAGGCTTTATTAGAATCCTTACAATTTATGATTATAAAAATAATCTTGGAAATTTCGTAAAAGATCAAAGTGACACGATTTTTTAATCTTTATAAATTATTGTTAGCTCTTTGGTCATTAGATAGTAAGTATAGGAAAATTTTTGAAATTTGAAGTATAATCTAAACACAATGCTAAGTAGTGGTATAACTTTGGTTAAGTCTTTTAACTTCTGTAGTTTTAGATTCCTTTTCTGTCAAACAAGCAAACTGGAAAGTATTATCATTAAGGTCTCTTTTAGCCTTAAGATCTTGGACTGTTCTACTTCTTCAGATTCCTGATTTTTACTTTTCTTTAAATTTATAGTTGCTGGTTTTTAGTGGTGATGAAATTTTTCCAATTTATTTTTAACCTGAAGTGGCACTAATGTACCAGAATGTCCAGTAGTCATTTACAGTGGTTTCCAGTATGATTTAAAAATTAAGTGATGATGACATTGTCAGTTTGAACAGTTCCAGCAGCATTGCCAACTAGATGATTTATAAGTTTCATCCCTCACTTTGGAGTAGTATTACTGTATTAATAAGATAAGATTGCCACCAGAAATTATAGTGGCTGGATCTAGATGCTTAAGAAGATTCATGTTTAATTATTTTGGGGATGATTACTTTGTAGGTGGTGTTGTGTTTATCAGGAGCTGTATGATGTCTTATTATGTTTCTTTTTATGATGGTAGCAACCATTGTTGGTTAGTCCTTAGTTCCTTAATTAATTAGGGGTTACAAAATAGTAATATTCCAGTTTTATCATTCCTACTTGAGATTTTGTTGGAATATGTCTATAAAAAAATTTTCCATTCTAGTTAGTTGACCACTTTTATAGGAAAATCAGTTTTCAAAATAGGGTTTATTCCCAGTGTCCTCAACAGGTGATCAATTAGGTTTCTTTGGTGTGGAGGAGAGATAGGAGGGGATCAATTATGAACTCATTGATTTGAACATACTTGATTTTTTTTTTCACTCCATTGTACTTATTCTTATTAGTAGTCAAATTGTCCCTACATTAGCTAGCAGGAGTCTCTTCAGGTTGGACCCAGAGTCCTTTTAACACAAACCTGAGAGTCTTTATTTAATAGCATTCTTCTATCTGGAATAACTACATATTGAGGGCTCCTCTTAAACTCTTCATAAAATGAGCCATTTCTTTAAGGAAGCTGGCTACTAGATTGGTCATTATTTTTAGTTTTCCAGTGAACAGAGCTAAGAAAAAATATGTTTGTGTTACGATGATACCTCAAGAGTTCATACTGGTATTTCCAAGTCAAAGTCAAATGAATATGTTATTTTATTTTCTTTATAAGTCACTTCGTATTTTTACCTAGGCTACTCAAAGGATTTTTTTTTTCTTCCAATTCTATGATTTTACCCAAATAAGTCTTAGTGTTGGTCATTTGGGGTCAGTTTTGCCAGGTGCTTATTATACTCTTTCAATATGTGATTTCAAATATTTTTTCCTTTTTTAAAGAAAAATTTATTGAATTATACTTTTAATATTCATTTTGTTCCCTTGCATGTTTGGTATTCTTTGGGTTTTCCTATTATACATATGTTAGATTTTCTTTGCCTATTTTTATATTTGTCACAATGTCTTTCTAATCCTATTTGTCACTCTTCATTTCTTTTTTTTTAATAAATTTCCTCCTTTTCCTCTTCTTTTTCTCTGAAGGCATTAACTGTTCTGTTTATTCGTGCCTCTGTTCTTTTGTTTAATTGTTTTTGTTTTTTTTAATTTTATACTTTTTTTTTTTTTTTAGCTTAGCCATCCTGCTACCTGTTTGCAGCTCAGCGGCAGCTCAGGTCGGGCCAGGCAGCGAACTGCTGTTGCTCAGAGCTCAAACTTTGAGCGAGCTCTTAACCAACTGAGTCACTCGGCCGGCCCTGTTTAATTGTTTAATAAGACTTTTCTGAAACGATGTGTTCTCTTATTTCTAATTCTTTTCTGTCTTCTGTAAACTTATTTCTGAGTTGCTTTGATTCTCATTTATGCTCTTTCACTTCTTATATTATTTTCAAAATGTCTTAACACCTTTTGAAGTAGTAGCTCATAGTATTCATTTGTTGTAGAGGCATATGTATTGTTTGTTATTTGTAGCTATTTGTGATTTAGAAAAGGAGAAATGGCCATATTTTACAAGCATCTCTTTCTGGTATTTTTTCCTAATGAAATGACTATTTTACCTTGCCTCAGTCTGCTGACTTTATAATTTGGCTTTTGGGAAGATGCTTTTATTGTCACACAAATGTATTCCATGTCAGTAGTTCTGCTAAAATGTAACAACTCTAGGTAAAGGAGACTTATCTTCTGGTTCTTTTCCCTGCCTTAATTTTATTAAGTAAATATGCAGGTTATTTCTATATATGTAGTATTTAATAGCAGACTCACAGGTATTTATGGAAACTACTTGTAAAATAAAGCCTTTTTAATTCTGTTTGAAGAGAAGATTTGTGCAAGAGTTTGATACTTTTGGAAACATAAAGTGAATGCCAGCATGCTATTAAAATATAGGTTACCATGCTTTAGACATAACAAATTCATTTTTACTTTATGAACATGATATCTAGATATGACTTTTTTAGTGTATAAGTTATAGGAACATTTCACAAAACTGCTTTTATAAAATGTCACTCTAATTAAAATAAACATCAAATATAGTGTAACTGTTCTAAGATTTGGGTAGTTGAAAAAAATAGCATGTTTGTGGTTTTCCTTTTCCAACTTTTTATGGTTTCATATGTCTATATACTAAAAAAATATATATATATATATTCTTAAATTTAGGTTAAATGTGCACAGTACTGGCCAACAAAAGACGACCGAGAGATGCTGTTTAAAGAAACAGGATTCAATGTGAAGTTCTTGTCAGAAGATGTGAAGTCATATTATACAGTACATCTACTGCAATTAGAAAATATAAATGTAAGACTTTTCATGCCCAAAAGATTGAACTTTATATGATGATTTTAAGAATTATTCTGTTATTAGGTATTATAGAAAATTACAGTTGACATACAATATTATATTACTTTCAGATATTCTTTGTTTTTAGGTTTGAAGTTTAGGGCAGCACATACATTTTGATAATGTGCAATAGTATGTAGCCATAACCATTTGTTTTTAGATTGTGTTCCTATATGAGGTAGCTCTCTAAGGCCTCTCAAGAAACACTAGAAGTTAAGAATTTTAAAGTTTTGGTTGAAATTTAAGATTGAAAATAATTCATTAAAATTGAAGGTTAAGGAGAGACAGCTTTAGAATCATGCCTACCTGGAATCAAATCCCAGTTCTGCTACATAGTAGAAGTGTCCTTGGGATCTGTTCCTCAACCTTCCTAAGCCTCTCCTCATCTTTAAAATGGAGATCATAATACCTCCCTTTCAGGACTATTGTGGAGATCAAATGAAGATATGTATGCAAAGTACCTGATGCAGAATAGGGNGTCCTCCACAACTAGACTGAAGAACAAAAAACGACAGCAACTTGTTTGTTCCCCTTCCTCCAATTCCCCAACACTGTTCGCAACCCCCCAATTTCCCAATAAAAATCTTAAAAAAAAAATTTTTTTTAATCTGGGTTAAAGCTATACTCATCATCTACCAAATCCTTTCCTTTTTTTTGCTGTCCCTACCCTTTTTCAGATCTCTCTTAATTTTTATCTGTAGTAATATAGTAGCTTTGTAACTTATTTCCTTTCCCACCAGTCTATCTTTAACAATGCCACTAGAATTATTTTTGTAACATACACATTTGATCATATGACTTCTTAAAAAAAGTTTAGTGAGAGTATCTCCTGAATTGAAGACCCTTCACACTCTACAGGTGTAGTTTTCTACTGCATATTTCCACTTCACCCTCACAGATCTATTTGTCCTTTTCCTGATGTCCCTTAAACTTTCAGGTGACTTGCCTTATGATTGGAATGGCCCTGACTTCCTTCCTACCTTTCTCCTCCCCATCGCTGTGTCAGTGCCCTCCTCATATTAAGGCTTTGCTATAATATCCGTTTTACTCCCAAAGATCTGATGCTTTATTCCGTACTCTTGTGGCACTTCATGTTTTTCAATTAGTAGGACAATACTTCTCGTCTCCTTTGTAAGCTCTTTGAAGGCTAAGACTGCTCTTGCCTTGTACCTAGTACACTGGAACAGAGAACATACTCAGAAAATATTTCAAAGGGTAGAGAAAACTAGAGATGCTAAGTGTTTATTAAAACTTCAGCTGTTGCTTGTTATTTTTCTCATCTTTTTTCTCTCAGTTTTATAATAAAAAAAACATATATCAGTCCCTTGGTATAAATATCCATTTTGCAGAAGAAGAAAGTTGGTAGTATTGCTGGTAAGCGAAATAGCTGAGAGATAAACCCTGGGCCCCTTTTAGAACCATTAACAAACAGAAAATGTGGCCGCGGGGGGTGGGGTGGAGCACATGAACACACAACAAAGAATGATTTCACCGGTGAATGGATACATCCATTTTTTTAGCTGAAACAAAACGTATTCTCTTTGCTAGGGTTTTGCTCATTGCTCTTTTGTTTTGGATGTGGATCAAGCAGTAGATAATATATGTTGAGTGAGAACAATGTTCTCTAACATTAGGTTGCAGTTTCTCTGGATTCCCAGTAGATTTCTACAATAGTATCTTTATAACTTAGAAGCTTAGAGTTTATTAATTCAAATAATATTTATAAAGCATCCACTACATGCCATGGAATACAACTGCCCTAAAGATGCTTTCAGTTTGGAACCACTTGAATTGCCTTGTTTTGCTTGTGAAGCTGAAGCTCCAGGCTGACCTGGCCCCAGCATCCTCACTCTGCCCTCTACTCACCACTCTACCACACGGCCCTATGAGGTGAATGCATGTTGCGTTACTTTAGGTACAGTAAAGCCTCATTTATTTTAATCTTCACTCATTTAAAATTATAATGTGGGCATGGCCTTTTTTTCATCTTTTATTTGCTCTTCTGCCCTATGCTACCATTAAACACAATGTAAAGATAATTGGGAGTATAAAATACAATTTGATATTTTTTCCTATGGCAATATTGTAATATGAACCATTCCCCCTTTTAAGTCTGCTACTGAGGTCACACATGCTATAGTTTTGTTGATTAACAGTTTTATAGTGGTTCAGGAACTTTGAAATTTCTGCTTTTTCTGGAAATCCTTTTGTAGTTAAGTTGGGTTCATTGCCTGGCCAGTGATGGCACAAATTTCCACTTTCGCTGGTCTGCCATTATCTGTGGGAGGCAGGGCCTACCTTTATGCTGTGAAAGCTGAAAGGGACAGAGATTTTCTTTGCCTACCTCTTTTGCAGCTAGAACATGACCAGTTGGCTATTTCTGCCTGTGATTTTTGACTTTGGTTTGCTTATAGGTTATGTGTGAATACTGCAGCTAC